TCATGAAGTGAGTATAATACCTGACCAGCGCCAGTAAACACGACGAACGACGTAAACGAATGAACAAGCTTTAATAATGAAACGTAGTCGCAAGATGGCCGACCAATAACAACAGTAATGAACAGGCGTCACTGGCGCGGGCGCGCGCGCATGACAGGCACAAATGTCCGCGGGCACAACGGGCTCGCTGGCGCAGGAGATCATAAGGTGCTCGTTGATTTGATTATTCTCTCAAAGAAGATGTCGTCATGTTTTGTGTTTCAGGTTGAAGTCAACCCACTGACGTACTTCGAGAACGTACAAAAGCATTACCAACTCAACAGAAAAGTTATTTTGAATTTGCGCGGTACAAAACCTAAATGCCAATCGTAAGTTTAACTTCCACTGGAGCCCAAGCCAGCGTGTTTCTTGACTATGTATGATTATTATAAAGTTGTGCGTACATTGTTTTTGTTATAGGTGGAACATGAGATACACCACACAGAATGCACAGTACACTCCATCATGCAATAAAATAGGTATGTACAAATGTAACTTACCTAAATATATCGAGTAGAAACAGAGCCGTGCAGCATTACTGACATTTGCTTATTTCCATGGCGATAGGTGTTGCAGTAGGTCTGTTACAACCACCATTGTACCACAGCGACTTTCCAAGGTACGTCAGTCTTTTCGCCTGATTTCAGTCTGTAATCAAGACAAATGCGTGAGCCAAGGAAGGAAACTCCAAACGTTTTACAAAGAAGATTTTTTATCTATCTCAGGGGGGAGGGGGATGTGGCATTTGGCGGACAAAAGCTATATTTAGTAAGTGAATGTTCTCTCAAAAATTTGTTTCCAGTGCAATTAACTTTGGTAGCATTGGTATGGCCACAGGTCACGAAATCACGCATGGGTTTGACGCTTCAGGTAAGTGCATGATCAACACGTTTCGTAGAGGTTTGTTTGTCCTATAACTCGTGAACTTTATAATTTCACAAGACAAAATTCACCTTTGACATCCGCTGGTTTCCTTCTCTTTTAAAATAAAATGGCGTAGACTTGAAAGACGAAAAGACGATTATTTCTATCGCCGCAAAAGTCAGGAGAGAATTTAAATACCGAAAAACGACATCGGTTGATCAAACAATAATAGATCCAAGTATTCGTATCGTTTTAGGGGCGATGTACAACAAAGATGGAAACGTAAAATTGTGGTGGACTAAGGACACCTTACAAAAGTTTGAAAAAAAGACCAAATGTATGGAAAAACAATACTCAAAGTTTTTGGTCTATGGACACCATGTAAGTATGTATTGCGATGTTTTGTGATTATATAAGATAAGTTTTTGGACTATGGACGCCATGCAAGTATGTATTGCGATGTTTTGTGATTATATAAGATATGGTTTTGGTCTATGGACGCCATGCAAGTATGTATTGCGATGTTTTGTGATTATATAAGATAAGGTTTTGGTCTATGGACGCCATGCAAGTATGTATTGCGATGTTTTGTGATTATATGTAAAGATGTTTTTCGTTCCCCGGCTTAGGCGCAGCGTGTTTCACATTTTACCGTACGTACACTGATTTTTATGTAACCTTTCCCCCCAGCTCAATGGAAAGCAAACATTAAATGAGAATATTGCTGATAATGGTGGACTGAGAATAGCCTACGAGGTATGTTTTTTCTTACTGATTCAGGAGATCTAGAGCATATGCACATGATAGGATGACCCGAAGAGATACAGTCCACATTTTACTGTTCAGTTTATTACTAGCTGTGGTTCTAACTTTTTGATAATCATTTAAATCAAATATCTTTATTTAAGTGTCTAGTCATTCTAGCGATTTCGTACGGCTTATTGGGGACACTTTTCACTCGCACACACTACCAATACATTCATTACTCTATTCACACAACGCTCAACTCACATGTTGGTTTTTTTATCGTTCAAGGCTTATTCTAAATGGTTACAAACTCAAGGTCCAGATTTGACTCTACCAACGATCAGCTTAACCCCAAAACAGCTGTTCTTTTTATCATTTAGTCAAGTGAGTATTCAATGAGCATTGTGTCTTTCGTGTATATTACTATGTATATTATTATGTATAACATATATTGTTCGTAGACATGGTGTTTGAAGAACACGAAAAGCGCTTCCATCTACGCCCTTTTTACTGATGAGCACAGCCCTTCAAAAGCCAGGTACATAAGTTATATAACTACGTCATAATGACGTCGTGTGCTTTCGTATTCAAGTTAAATACCATTTTATGTTTTATCTTTACAGAGTAAACTACGTTTTGAGCAATATGAAGGAATTTTCAGATGCATTTAAATGTGCCAAGGGATCGCCAATGAATCCCGAGAAGAAATGCATAGTGTGGTAGAGTGAAGTCATTAAACCCGTAAAATAGATATTAGACTAACACACATTAGTAGACCCTGATTTCATTGTCTTCTTTTGTGTCTATTTGACTATTACACGTTGACTAATATTTTTTATTTCACGGGTTAAAAGCCTTCTCTCTAAACCGCAAACTTGCAGCTTATTTAGTCTTTGCAATTGTTTACAAGTCTGGGAAACAATTCTTGATTATTTATATTTATTCGGGTCTGATGGGAGATGTTTTGGGCTTTTTTTATATTGAATATTGCTTGAAACCGTTTGTCAAATAGTTCAAATGGAAATTATTTTAGATCTTCAAAGAAGGTGGGGTTAAAAAAATAGAGGGTATATTTTTGTAAAGTCATTGCTTTGATTGTAATTTTGTACCTTGTGTAAACTTAACATTGAAATAAAATAAAGAGATCAATGACATTCCATTTATGAATTATAATTTCATGATTTCAAAAAAACTAGACTAAAAACACTACTCAGCACGATCGCATATGAAAGATCATTTATCCAGGACGAAAAGCCATATCAACCTGTAATATTATCCTGACGCAATGTTCTTGCAGCCTGTATATTAACGATGTGGTAGAACGAACGTTGAACATTCTGATTCACTACTTCATAGTTTATTCTTACAATATTCTATTAACTGACTGAGAGGCTTGTAATTTTTGGTTTTTGCCTGGTTTGGCTTGTTTTATTTGGTCACCCTGTGGACAGCTGGGCACCAACCCATTAAAATAATATATGAGCAATCAACACCCCCTTCCCAAACATGAACAGCCATGAAGCAACTCTTATAACTGACTCAAATACCTTATATATTTGAAAGCGAACGAAAACAGAAGCTGATCGATCTCACTACATTCAAACCAGTTTGGATTCCAGTTTAACTCCAAGTATTCTTGGGGTTTGCATGTTACGTCATAGCCGCCATGTTGGTTGACTAGATCAACCAAGATGATGGCTGTTTCATTGTTATTCATATCTCAAGGGATTTGTCGGTCACGTGGTTGCACTTCAAAAATATAGGCAGGTAACGTTTAAATGAGTAAACAATGACATTGCAGGATCCCATATTAAAAACTGATCACGTGGTACCTGTTGTATGGTACCAGTGATGTTAATGTACTGCTGTGACATCACATTTCGATCCAAACGAATAGCGATCAAAGACTTAATTCATTAGTGGTTGGTCCGAAAAAGCAGAGCGCCAAACGGCGTAGCCGTCTCTAAATCACTAATCAACGTATTCGTGAATCATAAGCTATCGATCCCAAAAGCCATCTGAATTAAGTAGCGAGCCATGGGAAGAAAGTTGGTACAAATTTTGGTGGTGTTTGGCGTGATACCAATCGTTATCTCTGAGGTCTACACAGCTCTGACTCACATGAAAGGATTGATTCGCATGGAAAAAACTTTAACTAGGGAATTAGAACATTTTTTAGCAAGTCATCCTAAAGCGCCTGCAGAATTTCATCGCCTGGCAATCGAGGTCAAGACTCAGACATCTGATATCAAGAACGACTTAGAAAGGTTTCTTGGACACCCTTTAAATGCTTTCTTACTTATTAGAAGGTACAGGAAACAATGGAAAGAACTTGAAGAATATCTCAGAAAAAATGACGACGAATCGGGTAAATATGCCGGCATTTCCCGCTTTATACAATTAACGAATTCATTTACATATTTGTGAAATACCAAATTGCGGATATCCTTTGTCGAAGTGAAGTTTTTTCTTTTATTTAATTTTTTTATTATATTAGATATTTGTTATTTTACTGGGCCACGTGTTTAGCTCAACAGGTTGAATGTTCTTTTATTTATTTAGTGGTTCGTGAGTTTTTGCATGCTCCTCAATCTCCTGTTCAATTATCTTATTTAGTTTTAGAGCAGGCGATATAGATTACTGCCAGCCAATAGGATATATCTTAAACACCTTTTAGTCAGTTTTTTAAAGCGATATAGTCTCTCATTTAGTATCTCTGCCGGAACCCTAAGAACACTAATGTCACATGACCGAGGTATTTAAAGTGGTTAAGACTAAACCCATTAAGATATTTCCAAAAGCTAACAATAAACATGATATCAGATACTACACACTTTGAACAAAATAGGGCTGGGTCTTCCAGTATATTTCTCTTTGACAAGCAAAGTTCGATTTTAAACTTGTTAAATAAAAAAACTGGACGTTTTTGCGTTGATGTTTACCAGGATTCGTACCTTACGGGAACGGGGTCTCGCTTGCTTGGCAGTTTGAAGTCAAACCGAGCTTATCAAGTCGTATCGGCGGTACATAACTGATTCATCAAACTACTTATATGAATATAAATCGCTATTAATGCAAAATTAGAACGCGATGATTTACGGGCAGCAGACTTAAGAAAGTACATATTTATAAATCAAGTACCAGTAAATTGATATAGTAAGATCTGCTATATTCTCTAAGTGCATAAAGGATATTAATATAAATAGTTTATAGATTTGTTTCAGATACTTGAAGCCTTTTCAACTGGATTTCCCACCGATGAAGATGTTCTGGGCTGCGTCAGGGCAATTATGCGCATTCAAGAAGTTTACCGAATAAGCGCAAAACAAATAGCTGATGGTAAACTATCGAACAAAACTGTCACACCACAACTGAATGCTGAACACTGCTTCGAGATCGGCTTTGCTTATTACCAATGGGAGAATTATGCACAGGCGTATGGATGGTTAATAGAAGGAATGACAAGACTCGAGAAGCCTTTTGAATATAATGGGCCACTACGACGAGTACAAGTACTGGAGTTTCTGTCATGGACTGAATACATGGTAACTTTCTTTATAAAGACATTATATATTTTATTCAATCACTCACTCGCTTATTCCCTCATTCATTTACTCATTACTCACCTCAAATGGCAATCATTTATTTATTCGACTGACAGTTTCTGCTATGATTTCAGACTGATCGCCTCATAGATGCCTTAAAACACGCTTTAGAATTACTCCAGTTAGGTAATCAGTATTCATATATGTAATAGCTGGAATGGAAGGATGTTTCTTATTTGTTGTTGATGATCTACTAATATTCTTGTAATATATCTACAGATCCGGAAAATGACTATGCCGGTAGGAATATCGAGTTTCTAACGAATGAAGTGCAAAAAGCAAACGAAAAAGGCGGGCCGTACGTACGACAGGAAGCCTTCTTCAAAAAACCTCGAAAAAAGAAAGAAGAATACATGAAGGTCTATGAACGCCTGTGCAGGGGAATATCCCTAAAGGTATGAAGGACATTATGAGTGAGCCGATTATGAAGATGAAAGAAAGTTAGTGTTGAACTGCTCCTTTCTCTTGACAGTCGCAAGCTCAACTGGGAAGGTTAAAGTGTTACTATGAAACTAAGCTTCATCCTATGTTGAAACTACGGCCCCTAAAAGTCGAGATGATCAACGAAGATCCTTACATAGTGATGCTAAGAGACGTGATGTACGATCACGAAATTGAATACATCAAAAAAACAGCTGCTCCTTTGGTTAGTAAAACAATCATTTACTAAGTCAGGACAAGAGTGAATGGCCGGCATATCTAATATTTATGTTCATGTTAGCTTAACAGGGCCACAGTCACCAACTCCGAAACAGGGGACCTTGAGTTCGCAGACTACAGAGTAAGCAAAAGGTAATGTGTGATAATCAATTGCTGATGCTTTCACCTGGTAACCTGGTTTCACGCTAATCCTAATACCACTAATCCTAATAACCCTATCGGACCCACTTCCGTTGTCACGTGACATCACAGAAGTGACCACATGATCAGACATGATTGTAGATTTCATTTCAAATCATGCTTCATTTATTTTCAGCGGCTGGTTGGAAGATTTTACTCATGATAATGATGAGGGTATTTTAAAAAGAATTAACAGAAGAACCTCTATAATAACTGGTCTAAAAACAGACAATACTTCAGCCGAGGCTCTTCAGGTGACGTCATAACGATTCTATTTATTTCGATCATTAATTTATTCATATGATTTTCTAAATATTATTGAATGTTTTATCATAGATCGTAAATTACGGCACTGCTGGACACTACGAGCCTCACTTTGATCATGCAACAGTAAGTATATCGAGTTCAGTGGCACATAAGGCTTGTATTGTATCTAATTATGCAGTTCATTATTACAGGAGCCGTACAGCGCTATTATGCGGTTAGGGATGGGCAACAGAATAGCGACATTATTGTTTTATGTAAGTGAATACTATAGACCAAATTCAAAACTCGCACCGATGTGAGGCTTAAGTTGTGAACAAAGGGATCTGGCGTGACTCAAAGTAATCTAGCGTGATTCAAAAGTCACGAATCACGCCAGATTCCTTTGTTCACAACTTAAGCCTCACATCGGTGCGAGTTTTGAATTTGGTCTATACAGTTGTTTAATGTTTATTAATGGGTAGCATATTTAAAGTTGCAAAGAGCGATCTGTGTGACAGAGACAAAAACATATGCTCTAACCACCATATAACTATTCATGATATTTGATATATGATATAACAGATGAGCGACGTTGAGTCTGGAGGATCCACTGTTTTTATTGAGACAGAAGCCATTGCTCGTCCATCTAAGGTCAGTTCTTATTAAGGGCTTTAAAAAGATTGATTGCCATGACGATCGACTAAAGTATTTCACATCACAGTGAGAAGCTAAAATTATAAACGTTTATTAACGATGTACATTTTACCAGGGTGATGCTGTGTTCTGGTATAACTTGCGCAAATCAGGTGAAGGAGACTCGCTAACACAACACGCTGGTTGCCCTGTCGTTGTTGGTTCAAAGTGGGGTAAGTACTGTCAGTAATTGTGGGGACGCGTGACTGGGTGGGGTGTGGGCTTATAAAGTGGGGTAAGTACTGTCAGTAATTGTGGGGNACTGGGTGGGGTGTGGGCTTATAAAGTGGGGTAAGTACTGTCAGTAATTGTGGGGACGCGTGACTGGGTGGGGTGTGGGCTTATAAAGTGGGGTATGTACTGTCAGTAATTGTGGGGACGCGTGATTGAGTGGGGTGTGGGTTTATAAAGTGGGGTAAGTACTGTCAGTAATTGTGGAGACATGTGACTGGGTGGCGTGTGGGTTTATAAAGTGGGGTAAGTACTGTCANATAAAGTGGGGTAAGTACTGTCAGTAATTGTGGAGACATGTGACTGGGTGGCGTGTGGGTTTATAAAGTGGGGTAAGTACTGTCAGTAATTGTGGGGACGTGTGACTGGTTGGGGTGTGGGTTTATAATTAAGTTACTTTGATTAAATGATCGTTTGTCTTTTTTTTTAGTTTGCAATAAATGGATTCACGAGATGGGTCAAGAATTTCGAAGGCCGTGTGATCTCACGATAGATGAATGATCAAATTATCTCATTAATCAATAGATTAAAATAGAAACGAAAATGAAAATCTAGTTTTACATAGGTAGAATAAACAGATAAACTTGATTCAATGTTCAGTTGAATCAAGTTTATTCTACATACAATGCTACTGACATGATAAGGCTGCGTTCATAATGTATGGCGGGGGGGTGCAGGTGAAATCTTTAAATGACAAAAGAAATCTTCAGACCCCCTTTGAAGTCCCCCCAAAAAACTATACTCTCTCGTAGCTTCTTCTAAAAAATTAGCATCCTTCCCAATTGTCTGAAAACATTTTTCACACCCCCCCTCCCCCATTTTACTGGTAAAAAATTTTCCGGTCCCCCCTAATTTCACCTGTCCCCCCTCTCTGCCATACATTATGAACGCAGCCTAAACAGCTTTAAATGTTAATCTTGTCATGTGATGTATTCAGTATTCAGTAGACAGCCCTTCTGCAGATATTTTCTAATTCGTTTGCTTATTATATTAATAGTATTATCAATAGTATTATTGATGTGCACGTTAAATTAATTTGACCCTTTCGGCTAATGGACAATTAATATACAATCTTTATACAACAAGTGTTGAATAAAAAATAAATGATATACAAAGACGAAAACTCGTTTGTGTAAGTTTATGCTCTCTGTGTTGTCATCAAAATATTACAGTTTATTTTAAGTTAGCCGTAACTCAGGTCCAAGTTTATTCAGTATATAGTTTTAATGTTCATAATCTTATAAACAGAATTTTACCTCATAAATCATAAAAAAGAGCCAGCCCGTACCGCTCGGAACGAGTCACATGATTGGGTTAAAAAATAATAGATAGGTCATCCAAACAATAGCACTAAACCTAACCTTACAAAAGCGGCGGAAATGAAAATCCAGCTCTCGAGCGGTACTGGATTACTCTAAAAAAACTGTGTTCCTTATATGCGAAGTTCACAAGCCTTCATAACACTTCGGCCCGACATTTCACTAGCTCCTGTCACCGGCTCTAATATTATATATATTTGTTAATTATATGATCTCGGTTTAAATACAACTGTGTAATATCGAGATTATACTATCATATATTATTTAGACACATATGAAAAACTTCTGGTTTAGCTTTGTTAAACGTACATTTATAGTTTCTATATTTTATGAAATTAAAAAAAAGTTTATTTAAAATTTATAAATATGGACTAAGAAGTTGTAAAACGTTAATTATTTTTAACAACTAATTGATATACTGATATACTTTATTAGTTCTTTCTTTAGCTGTTTTATTCATCTTGTTCCAGGCCACAAGGCCTGGTTACTCCCTGTCCATTCTCTAATACCCACTTGTTAGCAACTATATCAGGTAGAGAACAAAAAGAGTTATTCAAGGCTTTAGTTATGTACAGTTTAAAAGTTAAATTTGCAACCCGCATATAAGATCGTGAACGTGTTATATCATTGCAAAGCAACATTCTATTTCTCACCGCTCCCTGTTCTTAAAGAGTTTTAAAACTATAACAGGGTTAACAGCCTTGCAGCGACAGTATTAATCAAGATTGACTTACCCCACTTAGATCCTATGATGACAGGACAGGACCCATGTGTGGTTCTTTTATCCAACTGACCAGACTTTGATAAGTTGTACCAGAAAACCGCACTTCCTTTTCGTGGGTTCACAATCACTTCCGCTTCAATAAAGACCGTGGCTCCTCCTGCGCTGACGTCACTCATCTGCAAGGACAACAAAGTAATAAGCTAAAGAATCACGTGTTCTTTTAGCGCGCTATTTGGAAACGCGAAAATGATGATTGATGATGATCATGATCAAAGAACCTAAAAGGATATTGTTTCTACGGGGACGTATGTATAGGGGTGTACACTACGGGGACGTATGTACAGGGGTGTACACTACGGGGACGTATGTATAGGGGTGTACACTAGGGGGACGTATGTATAGGGGTGTACACTACGGGGACGTATATATAGGGGTATACACTACGGGGACGTATGTATAGGGGTGTACACTACGGGGACGTATGTATAGGGGTGCCCCTGACCCCCTTTGTCCAGCTTGGAACTAGTTGGTTTGTATAGCAATAGGTGCTCCTTCTGCAATTTATGTCATAACTCTAAAGCTAATTACATTCTTTGTTGTTATATATCTCAGTATTAGTTTTTGTTTTAAGTTTACTTGTTTAACTTTACACACACACTAAATTATATTTAACTTACATAAAGTAGGATAGTAGCCATTCTATTGCGTTGTTTCGCAGTAAAAGATGAATTGTTTGCCACTTGAAGATAATCATGATGAGGTTCGTCGTGTCCGCCAGAGCCATAGTTGACCACCTAAAAATAAATATAGCATTTGATACAAGCAGTGCCGGATATGCGAATCATTACTATGATCAAATCGTGTTAAACTGCGAAAGCCACCCAAAATAGCAAACTAGTTTCATTGCCAAAGGAAGCTGGTTCACTCCATTGGTGACATCACAAAAATGATTGCACCCTTCATTACGGATCGATTGGATAAGTTTGGCAAGCATTTTTGGTCACGTTGAACAAGCCTTACCTGTAACAATTCGCTGTGGTTCTCATCAAGTGATAGCCCTGTGATAGCTTCAAGTCTTTTGTTGAGGGTAACAACAGGCTTTGCATCGCGGTCTTCAAGCCAAACACTGAAAAAATCATAATCATTTTTTTAAATAGTCCTGTTGCTTGCAAGGTAAGAACAGAGCCACACTTTAGTCAAATCAAACGAGTGGTCTATCATCAGTGCTGCGTTCTGATTGGATGAAAACTTGTTTGCATCTATATATTTCATCGACAATTAGTCCTCTCACCATCATGGGCCTCATGGTTCAGGCGCGAGGATTAATTACTAAAGATTTTTTCTGTGGTACCAAGAACTTACTGAAGTGAATTCGAGGCCGTCTGTAGGGTACCATGCTATAATACTACTAGTGAGCAAGAATCCATTCAAGGGCGGATCCAGGGTTTTTTTGAAGAAGGAGTCTCAGGGGTAAATTTTGTGGGCAAAGGAATCCCAGTCGCATTTTTACCACAGTCGCCCATTTGACCCCAGGAATGACAGGGGGGTCGCGATCCCCCCGACCCTCCCCCTGGATCCGCCCTTGCCATTCAACCTAAACCCGGCAGCGTTCTCGATTTGGTTATGATAAACTAACTGAATGACGTACCTTCGACTTATTCTATAGTCCGTGTACACGTTTTCACCTGCAGACGATGAATTCATTGCCTGAACCCTGATAAGCTAACATAAAAGCATACAAAGCGGTGTAAGAAATGGGATATCATTATATCATGTGTAATCGTTCGTGTAGGATCTAAGAGATAAAAGGGAGACTGATTTTTCTTCTTCCGTTACAATAGAATTAACTAAAAACTCACCGCCGAACGCGAAAAATAGAAAAAACAAATAAAAAGTAAGCTTACATAAGCAAAACTAAGCATATCGGTTCCAGGAAAACAGCGGGTTTAGTACAAAATGGTAAACGTACAAGCCAAAACTAGTTGAAACACCTGGTGCGTATTACGGAGTTCAGTCGAGATTTTACCTTCGGTTTTGCCTTTTTTTTGAATTCTTGGATTTCTTTTTCAGTGATTGCCTCAAGTAGTATTTGAATTTCAGGCTCTACGCTGACCAACTCGATTTTTGCTGGTTTTAATACCAGTTGCGGATCATCGGTCTTGTAAAAACATCTCAGTTTTTCTTCTGGTTGACCCTGGAAAAAGAGCACGGACACGTGTGATAATCGATAGATTAACGAAACCATATTTGATTCTTTCTTCTAATAAGGACGGTCCCTACTCTAAGATAATTTGCCATTTATTAATATCTAGGTGCGTTATTATAGCTTTTGAAAAAACTTCCTTTGATCACGTAAAAACTTTCATGAATCTTACTTTGGAGCTTTCACTGAACTAAAAAATCGTCTTAGTACGTACGTGGAAGCAGCATTCTTCGTGCAAACATCCCAAAACCATCAAAAAACTTCCAATTCTTCGTTTGCACATTAACGCCATCGCGGCCATGTTGGTACCATTTAACAAAAGATTTTTCATTAACATCCATTGTTAACGGTACCACAATGGCCGCCATGTTTTTGTCTTTCAACTCTCTTGGGAATGCTTAAGAGGCAATGTCCACAAGAATCGAACAAATGGTGGCAAGGGTCAAAAAATCAAATTCGCTCTTCTTTTGAAGTTAGGTAGGCCATCATTAGATATGAATCCCTGGGTAGTTGGTTTTCGAAAATATTATTTTATTTCCGAGAAAACGGCCACAGAAGAGGTTCGACCGAAACCCAAGCAAGAGACGCACAAGAGGAGTGAAAATGGACAAATTTTGAACAGAGCGCACGTCAAAAATAAACCATCTATGACGATTTTTGAACTTTCTTCTTAATGTATCACCCTTTTTCGTTCATCTTACTGGATTTCAAGCTTATTGGGAAAGGGACGAATTTTTGTCGAACTTATTCGACTAAAACAAGATTATAAATCTATTTAAATAACGTTTCTATCGTAATTTTTAGCGTGAATTTTACAGTAATCATACTTCTAAACGTTAAGTGGAACCTCGGTCACGCAATCACCAAAGATCACGTTTTTTGATCATATACCGACAATCCCAAA